TGGCTGGCGCCTTAGCCGGTTGAGCTATAGGTGCCGAGCCCATGTGATGGTGTTTAATAGCATTCATTTTACCCACACTAGAACTTCTTTTAATTAGAGTCACTCCTCACACACTCTGCTGCTGCTTTGTCAACTAAGTCCATGCAATGTTATAAATACTTTGCTCTGTCAGTAGTATTCACAGAATCTTCACCAGGAGTAGATTCCACCTCAAGAGACTTACTTCCTTTGCTTACCCTTAAGAAGCAAAGTTCTTATCATTTCAAATTGGTCATGAGATTGCAGCAATTCAATCACATCCATAGATTCTACTTCTCATTCTAGTTGTCTTGCTATTTCCACCACATTTACTGAAGTCTTGAATGCCTCAAAGTTATCCATGGGGATTAGAATCAACTTCTTCCAAACTCCCATTAACATTTCTATTTTGACCTCCTCCAATGAATCATGAATGTTTTTAATGGTATCTAGAGTGGTGGTGATCTTTTCCAGAAGATTTTCAATTTACTTTGCCCAGATTCATCTGAGAAATCATTATCTATGGCAGCTATAGCCTTAAAAATACATTTCTTAAATAATAAGACTTGAAAATAAAGATTACTTATTGGTCTATGGGCTGCAAAATGGATGTTGTGTAAGCAAGCATGGAAACAATGTTAATCTCCTTGTGCATCTCTCTATCAGAGCTCTTGAATGACCAGCTACACTGTCAAGGAGCAGTAACATTCTGAAAGAATTCTTTCTTTCTGAGCAATAAGCCTCAATAGTGGCCTTAAAATATTTAGTTAACCATATTGTAAATAGTTGTGCTGTAATCAAGGCTTTCTTTTCTTTCTTTTCTTTCTTTCCTTCCTTCCTTCCTTCCTTCCTTCCTTCCTTCCTTCCTTCCTTCCTTCTTTCCTTCTTTCTTTCTTTCTTTCTTTCTTTGACAGAGCCTCAAACTGTTGCACTGGTAGACTGCTATGGCAACACACCTGACAGCAACCTCCAACTCCTGGGCTTAAGCGAGTCTTTTGCCCCAGCTTCCCAAGTAGCTGGGATTACAGGTGCCTGCCACAACACTGGGCTATTTTTTGGTTGTAGTTGTTGTTTGGCAGGCCGAGGCTAGATTCAAACCTGCCAGCTCTGGTGTATGGGGCTGGCGCCTTGAGCTACAGGTGCCAAGCCAATCTAGGCTTTCTTGTTCCATTTATAGAGCACAGGCAGATATATTTAACAGAAATCTTAAGGGCTCTCAGATTTTCAGAGTGGTGGATGTATATTGGCTTCAACTTAAAGTGACCAGCTATGTTAGCCCCTAACAAGAGAGTTAGCCTGTCCTTTGAATCTTTGAAGCCAGATACTGACTTCTCCTATATAGCTTTGAAAGTCCTAGTGCAATAAAAAGATGTTTTGTCTACATGAAAATCTAATTTTCAGTGTAGCCACTTTCATCAATTATCTCGGCTAGATTTTCTAGATAACTTGCTTCTACATCAGTGCTTGTTGCTTTACCTGACTTTTTATGTCATGGAGAGTTTTCTTTTTTAAACCTTATGATCCAGCTGGGCCCAGTGGCTCATGCCTATAACCCTGGGAGGCCAAAGCAGGTGGATTTCTTGAGCTCAGGAGGTCAGAGCTCAGCCTGAGCAAGAGTGAGACTACCTCTCTACTGGGTGTAATAGCAGTACCAGTAGTCTCAGCTACTTGGGAGGCTGAGGCAGAAGAATTGCCTGAACTCAGGAGTTTGAGGTTGCTGAGAGGTATGATGCCATGGTATTCTGGCCTGGGCAACAGACTGAAACTCCGGCTCAAAAAAAAGAAAAAGAAACAGAAACCAAAGCCTCATGATCCAACCTCTACTACTAGCTTCAAAATTTTCTTTTACAGCTTTCCCACATCTCTTAGTCTTCACTGAATTGAAGAGCGTTAGAGCCTTCTCTGAATTAGGCTTTGGCTTCAGGGAATGTTGTGACTACTTTTACCTTCTATCTAGGCCACTAAAACTTTCTGCATAGCAGCTATAAGACTGTTTTGCTTTCTTTGTTGTTGTTGTTGTTGTTGTTGTTGTTGCTGCAGTTTGGCTGGGACTGGGTTCAAACCTGCCACCCTCAGTATATGGAGCTGGCACCATACTCACTGAGCCACAGGTGCCATCCCTGTTCTGCTTTATCATTCTTGTGTTCACTAGAAGTAGTCCTTTTAATTTTCTTCAGTATCCTTTTCTTTGCCTTTAAAACTCAGCTAACTGGTTGGCTCCGGAGGCCTAGCTTTCTGCCTTATTTTGGCTTTTGACATGCCTTCCTCACCAAACTTCCTTACTAGCTTTTGACTTAAAGTGAGATAAGTACAACTCTTCCCTTTACTTGAACACTAAGAGTCTATTGTAGGGTTATTAATTGACTTAATTTCAATTTTTGTCTTAGGAAATAGGGAGGCCCAAGAAAGATGGAGAAAGATGGCAGAACGGCTTGTTGGTGTAGCAGTCAAACATGCTCACCACTTATCAATTAAGTTTGCTATTTTATATGAGCAGTTTGTGTTATAATAGTACATCAAAGATTTATGAACACCGTAAGAGATATAATAATAATGAAAAAATTTGAAATATATTGAGAATTATCAAGATATGAGATAGAGACACAAAGTGTGCACCTGCTGTTGGGAAAATGGCACTGGACTTGCACAACGCAGGGTTGTCACAAACCTTCAATTGTTAAAAACGCATTATCTATGCAGAGCAACAGAAGTACAACAAAACAAAGTGTGCCTGTGTTATTAAAGTGTCGACCTTTTTGGTGAGGTAATATGTTCATTTGAGTAGACACTGAAATAAATGTAAATGACAGTGCAGTTTGAACTCTATGTATTTTTCTATGTAATCAAAATCATTTTAGGATAAAGAACAGAGGAATGTTTTATGGGTTGAGAATGTTATAGCTATACACAATTTTTCATGGTCCCATACTAAATACACATAGAAGAATTACTCACATAATCCTTGTCTTATGTAACCTTATCCCACATAAGGGAATATAATCATATATAACTTAACACTATAAAAAAAAAACCAAGGTGTAAATTAGTTTTATAAATCACAGAATCCTTTTCAAATATAGGGCAAGGTAAAAGGGACTCAAGTTATACAATGTAGCAAAATTCATTAGTGAACATTAATGAGATAGCAATATTTTGTTCAATATTTGGCTGGATGGATCAAATTGTGTTTTCTTGAATGGTCACAAATGATTTAAATTATAATTCATTATCTTTATACATTTTCATCACTGGAAATATAACGTAGTTTAAATATTAAATTCTGATAAAGGACTTCCCT